AAACACTATTTCTCAATCTTTTTCTTCACAACAAGTTGCATTTCGTCGGGAATCTATTGAAGTTTTTGAATCCATCTGAAATCATTCAGATCAATACATGGTTCCGGAGTTATTCCGGTTCCCGTTGGGGTCACTTTTGGTCGGCATTCGCTTTACTGTTCTGTAATAAGTATACACACGATGAACATCATGTTTTTTCTCTCAAATGATGTAATTGGACCAATGCCAGCTATACTGACGTTCCACGGTCATATTGGGCATCCTGGAAATGTTCCGGTGTCCCCGGGGAAGTGGCCAATTCTCACCAAGAACCAAAACCTATCGTGCAACACATCAAACTTCATGATTTTACAAATCTTGGGCGGTAATGGCCTTATTGAGAGTCCACGGCTGCACTAGCTCTCCCGGGCATGTCCTGATGCCCCCGGGGAAGTGGCCAAATTTCAACAAGAACAAAAACCTATCGTGCAACATATCAAACTTCATGATACATCTTTGCCTGTAATGATCTTATTGAGACTTCACAGTCACACTAGCCCTCCCGACCATGTCCTGGTGCCCCCGGGGAAGTGGCCAATTCTCAATAAGAACAAAAACCTATCGTGCGACATATCAAACTTCAAGATTTTATAAATCTTGGCCTGTAATGGTCTTATTGAGAGTCCACAGTCACACTAGCCCTTCCGGACATGTTCCGGTGCCCCCGGGGAAAAAGCCAATTCTCAACATGAACCAAAACCCATCGTCCGATATATCAAAATTCATTATTTTACAAATCTTGGCTGGTGATGGCCTTAATGAGAGTCGACGGTCACACTAGCCCTCCCGGGAATGTTCAGGTGCCCCTGGAGAAGTGGCCAATTCTCCACAAGAACCAAAACATGTCATGTGACATATCAAACTTTATGATTTTGTTGAACTTGACCGGTAATGGTCTTTTTGAGAGCCCACGATTCCATTGGCCCTCCCGGGCATGTTCCGGTGTCCCCGGGTATATTTTCAATTTTTAGACAAGAGCCAAAATCCATCGTGCGACATATCAAACTTCATAATTTTGCACGGCCAGCAATGGTGTTGACAGCTAAGAGTGGAATAGCTATGAACAACAAAATCGGGTGTTTTTCCGGGTCCTGACCATGTAATGTGTGATTCACGAAAATATTAAGCGTCAATTCTTAATCAATTGAATTACATTTTAATAACCTTTGCGGACTAATAAGAGTGCTTTTGAGGACATTTATTGTGTATCATCTTGCCGCTTTCATCTTGCAAGAATGTGATGTCAATTACTCAAGGTCTGACACAACTAGCATCAACTCAAATTAGGTTCAGTGGTTATCGAGATATGTGGACTCTAAATAAGGCCAATACTGGCCGAGTTCGACACAAACATGAAGTTTGATATGTTTTTTTTTTTTAATAATTCGTTTATTTTTAAGTTTGATATGTTGCACGATGGGTTTTGGTTCTTGTTGAGAGTCGCCCACTTACCCGGGGACACCGGAACATGTTCAGGAAGGCCAATGTGATCGTGAATTCTCTATAAGACCATTACCATCATATAAAATGTTATATATCACACGACGGGTTGTGGTACTAATCAAGAATTGTCCACTTCCTCGGGGTACCGGAATATATGCGCGAGAACCCCAATTTGATCGTCGACTCTCAATGAAACCAAAACTGACAGAGTTACGTTAAGGTGTTTCGCTGTGAGATCCTTATTCTCGTAGCCACTTCGAAACTTTGACTGCACAAATATCAGCTTCTACGTACCACAATGAAACTGTTACTCCACGTTTGCTGTACTGCAGCATATATGAAGTAGCAATTTCAGGTGAAATGGTGCATTATTTTCCGATATGTGTGTAATTGAAAATTCGCAGTGGAAGTGCATGTATAGCCTACGTGGTGGCCATTTGTGGACTCTACAAGGAATCACTCCAAATTTTGAAGTTTGATGTATGGCGGGTTATGGTTCAGATCGAGAATTAATAATTTCCTTGGGGCACTTGTACATTGCCGGGGGCACTGGGACATTCCCGGGATGGCGAATATAACCATGAACTATCAATTAGACCATTACTGACCGATATCAGAAAAATTATAAAGCTTGATGTGTCGCACGACAGGTTTTAGTTCTAGCTAAGAATTAGTCACTTCTCCGAGGGCACCGCAGCAAGGTCAATATGACTGTGGGTTCAATAAGGTCATTACCGGCCGAGTTTTGAAAAACCATGAAGTTTGATATAACGCACGACGAGTTTTGGTTCTTGTCGAAAATTGCCTACTTCTTCGGGGCACCGGAACATGCCCGAGGGAGCTAGTGTGACCTTTGACTGTCAGTAAAGCCGTTACCAGTTTTTTTAAAATGATAAACTGTGCTGTATCGCACGACCAGTTTTAGTTCTTGTTGAAAATTGACCACTTACCCGAGGGTACTGGGGGTGGCCAATGTGAACATGTCATCTCAATAAACCCATTACCCACCGAGTTAAGAAAGTTTGATTTATCGTACACACTTAGTTTTTTTTTCTTCCGAGCTCGGCTATGCAAATCTCGGCAAAAATAAGTTTTACTGAGATTTCAGCAAAAGTGTCATTTTGATTGCTGAGTCTCGGATAATGCTAAGCTGAATCTCAGCAAACAAATGAAATGTTTGCTGAGATCTCAGTAAAACATTTTTTGTCGAGATTGCACAGCCGAGCTCGGTAGAAAAAACTAAGTGTGTACGACGGGTTTTGGTTCTTGTCGAGAATTGGCCACTTTCTGGGGGCACCGTAACATTTCGGAAGGCGCTAAAACACGCCCGTGAGGGCTTGTATGTCCGTGAACTCTCATTAAGACCATTACCGGCCAAGATATGTAAAATCAAGAAGTTTGATATGTCACACGATGGGTTTTGGTCCATGTCGAGAATCGGCCACTTCCCCGGGGGCACCGGACCCACAGATGGCGCGTGGGTGAAAATGGAAATGACGTTTTGATATCTGTCAAATTGCATGGCATTTTTTTTAGTAACTTATAATTTTGGATTGACTTATAATTTTTGTAATTGTGGATCTCAAAACTAGGAGTCGCATGACCAGTTTTGGCTTTTTTGATTCGCCAATGGCTAAATAAATTCTTACACAAGTGTCGGATCGTTTTGCGATTTTTGAAGAAAAATTTTCTTGTAAAATTTCTTAGGGAGTAGTTGGATTGATTAATTACTATATGACAATGGGTGACCTCCTCAGATTTTAATTTGAAAAAGTAAGTTTTCCCATTTAAATTCCTATGTAAATTTAAAACCCCGGGCGCTAAAATATAGTTACACCGACCGACCTGAAATTTTACACAGTTACTCTAGGACCCAAAAGGTCCCCGGAAATCATACTGGAACTGGAATATGAATGTTGTCTCACCCTACTAAACATACCATGTAACCAATAAGCCCACTAATTTACCTTTTATTTATATTAAAGCTAACATACGGCTAAGGTGGGGCTCCGGCACATTGATTTTAACCATATTATTGGTAGACAAGTTGGTTACTTGGTATTTCCCTCACTGTCTTTCCACCAGTCTAATCAAAAATTGTGTGTTCCAACTTGTTCATTAATGCATACTTTACCCGAGCAGGAGAATATAACTAATGAATACCTAATTCTGACCTGATACCAAATTTTGGTATTGACCAGCATGACATAAGAGGAATACCCGAGCAGGAACGAATATCTCGATACACCTTAAATTGATATGGATGAGCCTGACATAAGAGGTAAAATACCAAAAAATAATACCAAATAAATGTTCCCTCAATATCATACCAATACTAAATTTTGATAATGCAATACCAAAACAATACCACACAGGTATTCTTTTGGTATCCAAATATCAATTTTTGCTATTTACAAAGTATTTTGCATAACATTTTTTGGTATTATTCTTTGGTATTTTATTTCTTCCCGAGCAGGAACCGATAGCTATCGATAACAAATGAATATCTTAATGTGGTATGATACCAGATGCTTGTGGTATAAAACCTTGATTTGATATTATTCAGTTATCGAAATAATTTGTAAAATATCAAATGAATGCCAAAATAACAAAATGTGAGCTTTCAGTTCTTAGACAATAACACCTAAAAGAATAATTGAATTGATATTAGAAGACTTTCAAAATAACAAACTATGGTATTCTGGCATCTTAAAAAGCGTCTGTTATCCGTTTGTTATTGTAATAACTAAATTATTTATTAGTTCGTTATGCTTAGAATATTTTTGAGGTATTATTTTTGGTATTTTACCTCTTATGTGAGTCTCACTAATACCATAAGTAGGTTGCCTGTTATGCTATTTTCATACCTGATTTTGGTATTGATAAGTTTTTTTTTTCCTGCTCGGGAAGAGGTAAAATACCAAAAATAATGCCTCGAAATTTTCTACGAATAACGAACTAATAAATAATGTAGTTATTACAATAACTAACGATAATCAACGCTTTTTTTGATGCCAGAATACCATATTTTGTTGTTTAAAGGTCTTCTAATACCAATCGAGTAACTTTTTTAGGTATTATTGTCAACCCGAGCAGGAGAAAATAACTAATGAATACCTAATCCTGACCTGATACCATAATTTGGTATTGACCAGCATGACATTAGAGGTAAAATACCAAAGAATAATAGTAAAAAATTTCATGTAAAAAACTCTGTAAATAGCAAAAAATTATTTTTTGATACCAAAAGAATACCTGTGTGGTACTGTTTTGATAATGCATTATCAAAATTTGGTATTGGTATGATATTGTCGGAACTGTTTTATTGTATTGTATATTTATTATTGAAGAATTTCCCTGATTTTCCAGGATATCCCAGGTAGTAGACACCTTTTAAAATAGCGTGTAAAAACGTAGATTGTGTAGATTGCTCCGTTTTACTTCAAAATTGAGAAGGTCGTATAACCGATCCTACATACTAAATCGTAAAATTAAAATAATTAATCCAAACATCTTACCTGAGCCGACTGCTGTGCTTGTTGATTGTGTTGCTGCTGCTGCTGCTGAAGCTGGTGCTGTTGCTGTTGTGATTGCTGCTGTGCCTTTTGGTTTTGTTGCTGTGAATGCTGCTGCTGTTGCTGCTGCTGATGTTGTTGTTGTTCATTTTTCCACAGTTTGCCACCTTTCAGAATGCCACTAATTGCCTGTGCCGTGCTTAATGGTTTGTGTTTTCCTATTTCATAATGACTATTGACAGTGGGTTGCTGTTGCTGCTGTGAGCCAGGATCTGACCCGGTTCCCGACTGCTGCTTCTGTTGCTGCAACTGTTTCTGCTGCTGCAGCGTCCGGAGGTCGTTCGGATTGGCACCAGCAGCTAAAGGAGGCACTGCTGTGGAACCGGTCTCGTTGCCCGATGTCACTGCAATGATAGTGGTAGTAACCGGAGGAGGTTCGGAATCAGTTTGGGTTTTCTGAATAATTCTCCGCTCGGTCACGGTTGTCATCGTGATGGTTTCGACGATATAGCGCTGCTGGGTTTGGGCTTTGGACGACGTTGTTGACGACGACGTCAACGATTGGCTCTTATCATCATCATCACCTGGGAGTTTGAAAATTCAGTTCAGTTCGGAAAGGGGTTTTCCCGTAGTCCGTGGTAATCAACGGGGGGGATTTGAGCGATGTGTTTAAGGTAACATCACACGCACAGGTCATGCAAATATAAAATAGAGAAACACAATCAATTATGTAGCACATTGATTTTCCCCGAAACGGGAGGTGCATCCAACCTAGTGTCAAAAAATGCAACGCTAATTGTGCTACATATGTACTAAAGGCAAGGCAGATGGTGGCTTGGATGTTGCTATGGTGAATATTGATTCTTGCACCCTGTTTGTGCGAAATGGGTACTATATAGCTGATACGTGTGGAATGTTTCTACGAATGGGACGTGAAGTGCTTCAGAGGGTGCGTGAAATTTGTGTAGATACGTGGTTTGAAGCATGAATGATAGCACTTTTGGGATTCGATTGATTTTGCCGGGATTTAGCAATCAGTGTGAAAATAGCTTCATTCCAATGAGCTGTGGATGAGGTCATTGAGATGAACTGTCACGTAAAATTTGCTTTGGACTGGTTGAAAGGTGATCCTCAACTGACTTTTTGTTGATCCAAATTTGGAACTTGTTTACAGCACGAAGTCAAATAAATTGACAAATGAAACTGTTCACTTGTTCGATAATAATGAGGGCGACTTTATTTTAATTAGCAGTTAAAATGACTTTTTGTTTAGATGAAAATGTGTTCAGAGAGCAACTTTGTTGAGTTAACTGTGTACACATAATTCAGATACGTTTTACTAACACTGGTTTATGGGTAAAACTGCATTGAGCTCACCATAAACCATAAAATACTAACTACTGAAAACATAGATTGCCATTAATAAAATGCAATCAATTTGTTTTGTTAGCTATCGATATCTGAGTCGTAAAATACTTCCACCAACTAGCGTTGGCCAGACCCTCATCTTGATAAACCAAATCCCCTATCATTGATCTTTCCCTTCAGGCTCATTTCATTGCCTTAGTATATAAATAAGTAGGTGGTTACCCCAAGGCAGCGCCTACCGATCACTAATCGTTAAGATATGAATATCTTAATTTGCTATGATACCTTATTTTAGTATGCCTGTGGTATAAAACCTTGATTTGATATTATTCATTAGTTATCGAAATATTTTGTAAAGTATCAAATAAATACCAAAATAACAAAACGTGCCCGAGCAGCAATTGGGGCTTCAAAATGGTTAGTTGACAACCTGGAAGGAGCGGAAAACCTAGCTTTGGTCCTCACAAGTTCCTAACTCACGCCTCCCCGAATCATATGATAACAAAAGACTACCAGCTGAAACATGGACACAGCTGGGTGGTGTAGCCTGGACAATGTGGTCAGTCCGGCAATAGCAAAGTGAAGAGGTGCGACGAGAACACTGGCGCGGTAACCATAGTACGGTGATAGAGGACATAGAGGGCTCAAAACGGCGTCTGTTCTCCATGTTAGGAGCGGCTGATCACCGTGGGACTCTAAACAGAGATGTGCACGATGGTCCCCCGGCAAGACAGGGGGTTGGTGCAGGTCCAACAAGCCGCCCTAGAAAAAAAAACAAAGTTGCAGATAATGAAGAAAGAAATACGGATCGAAACAATCGGCAAAGACCAACGCGACGAAATAAGGACTACGATTGGAAACTCGGAACATGGAACTGCAAATCGCTTGGCTTCCCGGGCTGCGATAGGTTAATCTATGAAGAACTTCAACCACGCAACTTCGAAGTCGTAACACTGCAGGAACTTTGCTGGACGGGACAAAAGGTATGGAAAAGCGGGCATCGAGCGGCTACTTTCTACCAGATTTGTAGTGCTGGGTAAGATGCGCCAACACGTGATTGGTTGGCAGCTGATCAATGCGAGGATATGCAAGTTGAGGATTAAGGGCCGTTTCTTCAACTACAGCATCATCAACGTGCACTGCCCACACGAAGGGATACCCGACGACAAGGAAGAAGCGTTCTATGCGCAGCTGGAGCAGGTGTACGACGGCTGTTCGCAACGGGACGTCAAAGTTGTCATCGGCGACATGAACGCCTTGCTAGGACGGGAGGCAATGTACAGACCGATCATCGGGCCAAACAGCCTGCATGCCCTATCGAACGACAACGGCCAACGATTCGGGTACATTGCAGCCTTCCGTGGTATGGTACTTCGAAGTACCTTTTTTTCTCAAAAGGATATACGAAAAGCCACCTGGATCAACACACAGAAAACCAAATCGATCACGTTCTAATCGACGGTACATTCTTCTCAGACATTATCAACGTTCGCACGTATCGCAGAACTTAGTTGCAGTATGCATGCGACCCAACATTGAGCAATTACGGGACGCCAAAGTTGCCCAGGATTACGCGCGGCAGCTGGAAGCTGCACTACCCGCAAAAGAGCAGCTTGGCGCAGCTACTCCTGAAGATGGCTGGAGGGGCATCCGTTCCAACATAGGTAGTACTGCTGCAGCGGCACGAAGTACGGCGATCCCGGACCGAAGAAATGACTGGTTTGACGGCGAATGCAAACTGTTAGTAGAGGAGGAGAACAACACTGCACGAGATTGAATGTAGAGCGATATAGACATGACACACGGAAATTCTACGAGAAGCTAAATAGTTCGCGCAAAGGCTACGTGTCGCAAGCCGATATGTGCAAGGACTTGGACGGTAACCTTCTCACGAACAAGTGTGATGTGATTGAGAGGTGGAAGCAGTACTATGACGAGTGACACGGCAACAGACCTGCGACCACGCGCAGAAGACGACAGGTTACCGGCCCCTGATCTTTAAGAAGTTGAGGAGGTTAGCTGTCGGCAGGAAAACAACAAAGCAACTGGTGTAGATCAATTACCAAGTGAGCTATTAATATACGGTGGTGAAGCACTGGCTAGAGCGTTGCATTGGGGAATTGCCAAGATTTGGGAGGAGTAGATAGGGTTAAATACCCCATTTCCGGCCTATTAAGCACAACCCGCATTTAATCATTCTTAATCTAGCGCAGCTTAGCACCAAATGGAATGTTATTTTTACTGATGGCTTCTAAATTTATTTACCTTTCCGTATGTACCAGAATATTTGATAAAGAGAATCCCATCGTTGAGATATTGTCAAAAATCTACGGATTCAAAACTCGGCCTAACGCATTGAAACGCCATTGAAAGGACAATGAATTTACTTCGGCCTATCGGATGAAGATAAAAATTGATTCGGTCGGAGCACTTCTTTTGTTTTTGGGAATAATGGGTGCAAGCCTTCATATCACGCATTCTCATTGACTTCGTTCCGTAGCTTATTAACTAAAGTATCGTACCAAACGCATAATTGACTTGGTAACTCTGAAATCATGGATTTATTTGAAGTTTTCTGCTCGATAGGCCCAAAATGGGCGATTAGGCCGAAGTAGTTCTCTACCCTATTACCGGAATCTACAAAAAGGGTGACAAGTTGGATGCCCCGCCTACAAGGTACTCTCCCAAATTCTATGCCGCCGCCGCCTGTCACCATTTGCAAGAGAGTTCATGGAGCAATACCAGGCGGGATTCATGGGTGTCCGTGCTACCTCGTACCAAATGTTCGCGACTCGACAGGTTCTGCAGAAATGCCGCGAATACAACGTGCCCCCACATCATTTGTTCATCGATTTCATATCCACATACGACACATCGATCGTGATCAGTTATCATCTATCAGCTTATCAAGGCGAAGATGGATCCAGTGATGTGCGTTGTACGAGTATCGGGTACACTCACGAGTCCCTTTGAATGTAGAAGGGGGTTATGGCAAGGTGATGGACTTTCGTGTATGCTATTTAACATCACTTTAGAAGGTGTGATAAGAAGAGCTGGGATAGACACGAGTGGCACGATCTTCAAAAAGTCCATCCAGCTTCGCCAATGACATCGACATCATGGCCCGCAACTTTGAGACGATGGCGGAAACGTATATCCGACTGAAGGTTGAAGCTAGGCGGATTGGACTTGCCATCAACGCATCGAAGACGAAATACATAAGAGGAAGAGGTTCTAGGAAAGCCAATGTTAGCCCCCCATCCCGTTTTCAGATAGACGGTAACGAAATCGAGGTGGTCGACGCGCTCGTGTTTTTTGGCTCACTGGTGTTCAGAATAGATTAGATTAGTGATCAGGATCACAAGCGTATCGTGAAAGCGATTAAGCGGAATTCCAATGTTTTGGTCAAGGATGTGGCCAAAAAGTTGAATCTGTCCAACTTTCGTTCAGACTCTGAACTTCAGAGAGCCAAAGACCGGGAGGGACGTACAAGGCTCCAAATCGTGAAGAACGGCAAAATACGGTGGGAATGTCATGGGCCCGGAAACTGTACACCCTTATCCTGACGAAGCCTCATTGTCTCATCATGGATGATACTGTCAAGGTGGACTTCCGGCAGCTTCCAGGGCTACTGTTCTTCACCGCCCAGCACAAGTTTGATGTTCCAGAGGAAGTAAGGAAGCAGAAACTTTCAAAGTTTGCCAAGAAATACATAATTTGGCAAGTGGTCTGCTCATGTGGCAAACGGAGTGCGTCTTTCTTGACTACCGGGACTGTAAACGGGGAGATCTACTTCAAGAAGTGTCTACAGAAGCGTCTGCTTCCTTTGTTGAAGCAATACAAGGGCCCTGCAATCTTCTGGCTGGATCTAGCTTCGTGCCACTATTAAAATGTTGTCATGGAGTAGTACGAAGCCAACGGGGTCACTTTCGTACCCAAGGACATGAACCCTCCACTCCCCCCCCCCCCCCCCCCCAACGCACAGGAACTAAGGCCCATTGAAAAATACTGGGCTTTTATGAAGCAGGCACTACGGAAGCATCTCAAGCAGGTCATACATATCTGAGAAAGACATGAAGAAAAAGTGGGTTTCCGTACAGAATAAGCTGCAGCCAGATGTTGTATAGAACCTAATGAGTAAACTCAAGCGTAAGGTGCGAGCGTACGGTTATGGTATTGAAGTTGAATTAAATAAATATGCCAAAAGCTTACTAATGGGTTATATTTTATTTATTTCCTTGATATGTTTCCCGTCACTATTGTTTTCCGTGCTGAGCACCAATGCTACCGACGCCAGGGAGGCAGCTCCCACACCTGGACCTTACCCTTATCGACCCATCAACTCATGAACTAGGGACCAACGGCTTTACTTCCGTTCCGAAGAAAGGCGTGATTAGAGGTGTTATGCCTCGGAACATCCCGGCGATGCCGACGGGGATTGAATCCTGGCTTGCTGGGGTGAGAGGCAATTACGTTTACCACTACACCACCGGCGCCGCTGTTTTTTGTTGTCTGAAAGTTTGAAAAGGATCGGTCAACTAGGTAATTTTCTATAGCGTTTTTTCCGTGATGCAATTTGACGTGGGGCACCCTTTAGACGAAATTTCTGCTGAATTAGTGCCCGTAAACCGGACGATCATCCACCCTAACAAGTTAAATTTTTGATTTCAGCACTCGTTGGCTTAACAATTCTACCGCTCGTACAGTTCATATCTAGTTGATATAAATGAACTCTTACCTTTCCTAACAAACAACTGGTCGTAAACAGCGACTGAAAATGACAGCTATAGCTCTGCTCATGATCCAAGTTCACGATAGCAAGAACGAAATGGGTTCATGGTTCACGAAGTTTTTTTGGGTTAAACTTAACAGGCGTGAACTACAGAGCACCTAAATTTACACTACAAAATTGGTGTAAATTTAGGTGCTCTGAGACTGACATTTAAACGAGCGTCAATTTTGACATAAAATTGAGTCATAATAGACGCAAAATTCAGCTCAATCCAGCGTGCTTTCGAACTTTTCAGTCTCAGAGCACTTAATTTTACATGACATGTTTGTTTACGTCTCATCCTTTTTGTCAAAGATGGATTTCGTCACGTGTAAGATTAGGTATTTCTAAGTGTGTATGTTCATGGATTTGGGATTAAATTCTCGAACATCCGAATTAAGTGATCAAGTTTACGGGAACAAACGCATTAATTCAGATGAACTAGTAGCACCGACGAACCGACGTGACAGCTCATACAAGCTACTTTCAAATTCGTGCCCAACACACCACATGCGTTAAACACTACCGACATCAACTTATCCAATTGCGTCATATCATGAGCATGGACACGAACCCACGTATAATGTATATTACCTAGGTTTGCGTCTCACCTCGTTTGACAATTTTAATTGTTGGCAAACGAAATGCTCCTGTGGCATGTCGGTTCGTCGATGCTAGCAGTTCATAAAATCATGATTTTTTGTTCACGAATAACGGAACGTTTTTTGTTTTTTGCATGTACCAATTTGGGCCTTACACTATCTGCCTTTAATATTAGTGGGGCAGGAGTTGATGAAACTTTCTAAAGTAACACAAATTTGAGATCTTCAACTTCAAAGTAGGTCAGTAGTGATTGGTACCGTAAAATGTTCTATTTGATGAGACTGCTGGGAATAGCCAGACTGAAATCAAGTCAATCTGTACCAAAATGTATCCTTCTAGGGCTCGAAGGAGTTTACAAACATTTGAAACAACTGATATTATACTTACTGGCCAATTAATTGGGACATTTCGTATGTTGTTGTACTTATGCAGGGCACCATGAGTCGGTATATTTATAGTCTGGCGGATAGAATTTCGGGAACCAATCGAGCATATCACGACCAACAACAGAAAAGAGCACATCAGCTTTTGCGAACAAAACTTCGGAAACCGTTTTCTTGTGACTCAAGTCTCAGCTACGCAAACCAACGCCATAATCGGGTTGGGGAAAGTTTCCCCTATCCGGTGATGCTGTTAATTTGCGTTCGGTTGACGAGGAAAGAACTATCAAAGTTTAATTTATAATCCTTTTCCATTGTTGGTCTACAATATATTGAATTGGTTCCGCTTTTTGATAGAACGAAGTTCTATTCGCCAGACTATGAATATAGCGACTATAGTCGGTAGTGGTAAAAATGGTTCACTCAAGAAGGCCTGCAGAATTTCTGACAAAATTTGTGACACCATGCGTTTTTGTCCTGTTGGAGTGGAAAAAGTATGTGCCAATAGAATTTACCGGGAAGTCACTCAAAATCTTCGCCTGATAAATTACATTCATTCAATGAATGAGTGCAAAAAGTTTGGGTAGGGATCCACTTACAAGCATAACCGTCAGATAGACAGAGTTCTAGAAGCATTTCAAATTATTGATTGACTGGATTTTATGAATAGCTAAAATTCGATGACGTTGAAGCTGCGTTACGGAATAATGCACAATTTGAAATTTAGCGTCCAATCATGATGATTGCAATCTCGTTCCCTGGCTGCTGGCCCGTTGCGTTCAGGTGATTGATGATGATAAGAGGAAAAGTGTATGCATTCGGTTTGATTTTTGCTACTGGTCGAAACGATCTCGATGCTCCTACCTACCGATAGAGATGAATTTGATTTGCTCACGTGAAATGCTGACGTGTGAGAGTGGAAAAAAAAAGTGATTGAAAAAATAGCACGCTGCAACAAAACTTACCCTGTGAGGCGTCCTGCACCTGTTTGATGGTGAGAAATTTAGGCCGTTCCTCCCCGGCGATGATTTCCTTCTGGGTTATTCTCCGCTCCGGGGAGGATTTCTGCAGGGGCACCAGCGCTATCGGGAGGGTCGCATGAGGCGGCAGCGGGGCTTCCATCGTGGGCGAAATGTCGTCCGAACATTGCGAATCGCATTCTGCAAGGGGTGGGAAGAAGACGGAAGACAGGAAGAAAGAAAATTAAAATTAATTTCAGTTTTTAATGGCTTTAAGAGTCTAGCGACGGTGGCGAAGAAATGCCGAAGAACCTGCAGGTCGCGAAAAAGTTGCTCTCACGGGAGGAGCCAAACAATTGCGTTCAAGTTTATGAGCACTTCATGACAGGCGTTTTAAATTTTTTATTGCAGTTCATGTTTGGGTGGCGGTGAAAGTTTGATGAAGGATAGCCTCTCTGACAAACGAAGGTCAAAATATACTGTCCACACGTGTTGTATGTGAATGTAAGAATTGATCCCTCCGGTGACTTTTACATTCTACGAACAGTTTCTACAAGCAAATTTTTAGAAAGTCACCCCTCAATTTCCTTGGAAGGCGTTGAATCGTCCGTGAGTTCATTAGCTTTTTCTAAGGCACGTATCAAATTAAGACTTTTGGTCTCTCAAGACGGGTTTTTCTCCCGGGAAGATATTTATAGAGAACAAGTTCCAACGATTAATATTACATCAACATTGAAATCGAAACGGTGGCGGTGGGGAGATGGACAGAAAAGTTGTTTTCAAGTTTCAAGCCTTATCTGCCTCAGCATTCCGCTCTTTGTTGTTGGTTGCTTTTTAGAGTTCCATTCCCATACAACCAAACACACTTACTGGAGCAAACATCCGGAGTAGTATTTCCAACCTCATTTCCCGGGAACATGATTTTCGTTTTCCGGGATTCCATAATTTCCGGGTAATTTGAATAATTATTCAAAGATAGCTTTCAAATCAGCTAAATTTCATTTTATCCTTTAAAATGTGAGTGTGAGTATGAGATGTTGCTTCTGATTGACGATGATGGTGACTAGGGTTGTATTATTGGTTCTGGTTGTACTGGTAATATCGGGTGGTTTACAATACCGGTATTTTCGGTACTGGTCCTTTTCAAATTTTCAATTTTTGATGATAAATTTATTTTAAAGTATTTTTAGTACCACTGTCAACGAGTATTGATTTTGAAATATTTTTAAAAACGCCATGAATCACCAAACCGCATAGAACAGAAATGAAAAAAAAATCTCTGAATCAAAAAGTAGAAGAGGCTGTACCTGAGCACGAACGGAAGGTTGACAATTGTTTTGCCCTTAGTTCTTAAAGTTGCTTAAAATCTATAAACTTAAGACTCTTTAAATATTGCAAATGGTGACCGGTTGTTTGAAAAGAGCCAATCCACTATAGGGGAAATAACTCTAAAAAAGATTGGGCCCATCGCTAAAAATCAGCTATTTATCAATTTTATCTAGATGAAGATGATATTGGGACGGTACTAATGGATATTTTTGGTCGCTATTGAAAATTTAGTCGATTGCTGAATTTATGTTTGGGCCCCAATTAGGGGCATTTAGGCCGACATTACATCCATTTCCCCTACGAAGTGGAATGGATACCAACAGAAAAATAGTTGAAAATAATAGTTATTTAAACAAATATTGAAAACATGGTATTTGGGGCTAACCAGGCTAAAATAGTATATTACAAGCTGGAACCATTTTTATTTGATCTCTGGGGCTGTCCTCAATTGCTGGATTAAATTTAACTTGTGGTTAAAAGTGACAGATGTAAAGTTAACGATTAACCTTGATAAACGAGCGTGATTATTACTGACATTCAAAAAGGTAGATTTTAACAACCATGTATGTACGAAAACTGGTTGATCGTTGATAACACAGGGATTTTGAAGCATGAAAAAAATCATGCAAAATGTCACTTTTAGCTTCGAGTTAAATTTAACATGCCAAATGGGTCATAGCAGGAGATGGTTTTCTGTTGAAAAAAGTAGAAGGGTCTGTGCCAAGGGGCACGAACGGAAGCTTGACGTAGGACCGCTTGTGGACGGAATAAATGTGAAGAGCATTTAGTTCTTTTAATTGATCAATTATCTATTATCTCAGCTCTTTCCGTTTTTGAATTGTAGGCGTACCAAATTTGTAGTATTTTTTTCAAAGAGTAATTTGATTAAGATAATCAATCAAAATCACTTGTACTCCTGCTTCCAAGTTTGGTTACAATATTACAACTCTGGAGAGCATTTTGTGTGGTCGTTGGCTCTGAATATGGACAAACAGACAGATGAATTCTATTCCTACTCTTTACTGTAATAAGCTTGATGGCCCTGAAAAGAGCCGTTTGCTGCCAAAGTTGGTGATGATTTAACCTCCGAAACCAAACAGAGTGCGTCTCTGTCACTTCAAAACGTAGATGACATCCATGGCCGCTTACGCTTGGTGTGTTTAGTGTAGGTGACAGCATCATGGATCTCATTTTTCAGGAACACCTTCAGCACACCTCGTAAATCAGACCGAAGATACGTCAGACACCGCCACTGCGAGCCAGACGATGGATGGTGGTTATCTCGAAGAATTTGTGTTTGGTTCTGAATATGGCGATGAGTGTGCAAAATATTACGCAATTCCATCCTCCCTATTTGCACGCGCCCGAGGATCGGAGGCGAATGCCACCTCGACTTGTTTCGTCTACTTACTATTCTCTGACGACTGTGCTGGGGAAGCAGCATATAAAGGGTGATACGGTCAAAATTTGGTCAATATCAACTTGACGTATTTTTTTCAATTTTGCATTTAAAAAACCTGAACACCCCTCATTTTGAAGGTGTGTGTGTGTGTAGAATGTTGCTCCTATTTTGATTTTGGAATTCACTCTTCAGTTGTCAAAATGCCGTCCAAGCAAGAAGAGCAGCATATCAAAATTTTGCTCGTGCATCGCGAAAATCCGAGCTACTCGCACGCAAAGTTGGCAAAATCGCTAAAAGTTGCCAAATCAACCGTTACAAATGTAATTAAAGTGTTTGGGGAACGTTTGTCGACAGCCAGGAAGTCTGGATCGGGGGGAAATCGAAAACCGGAAGCCACTGAGACGACAAAGAGAGTTGCCGGTAGTTTCAAGCGAAACCCTAACCTCTCTCTCCGAGATGCCGCAAATAAGCTGGGTGTATCGTCTACAACCGTGCATCGAGCCAAAAAACGAGCCGGACTATCGACTTACAAGAAGGTAGTGACTCCAAATCGCGATGATAAACAAAATACGACGGCCAAAGCGCGATCCCGGAGGCTGTACACGACGATGCTGACGAAGTTTGACTGCGTGGTAATGGACGACGAAACCTACGTCAAAGCCGACTACAAGCAGCTTCCGGGACAGGAGTTTTATACGGCAAAAGGAAGGGGAAAGGTAGCAGATGTTTTCAAGCACATGAAACTGTCAAAGTTCGCAAAGAAATATCTGGTTTGGCAAGCCATCTGTACCTGGGGCTTGAAAAGCAGCATTTTCATAGCTTCCGGGACTGTCAACCAAGAAATTTACGTGAAAGAGTGTTTGAATAAACGTCTGCTGCCTTTCCTGAAGAAACACGGTTGTTCCGTACTGTTTTGGCCGGATTTGGCATCTTGCCATTACGGTAAAAAGGCCATGGAGTGGTACGCCGCCAACAACGTGCAGGTGGTTCCCAAGGACAAGAACCCTCCCAACACGCCAGAGCTCCGCCCAATTGAGAAATACTGGGCTATTGTCAAGCGGAACCTAAAGAAGACCAAAAAAACTGCTAAGGGCGAGCAGCAGTTCAAGGCAAACTGGCTTTCTGCCGCGAAGAAGGTGGACAAGGTGGCTGTACAAAATCTGATGGCAGGGGTCAAGCGTAAGGCCCGGCAATTCGGATTTGGAAAAGCAGAAGCCTAACTGAATATTTTTCCTGAATTTTATACTAATTGAACTTGAAAAAGAAATTTAATTTGATTTTTTAAATAAACGATTTCACCGATTTACACGCGTTTTCCCTTGACTAAATTTTGACCGTATCACCCTTTATGCATGTAGATAATTGGTGGATTTGTTAGTTAATTCGACGTTTTTGGACAATGCTGGACATTTACCAGTTTTTCAAAAGTTTCTTGTTAAAAATCAACATTCGGAAGCATTGTTATCGATGCGTAGCCATATTTCTGATCGATTGGAGATAAAATTATTGAAATTGGACCAGGGGCAGCTGAGTTATTAACGTTCAAAATCTTTCTTAATTTGTTACATGTTCCATTTTCGGTTTTCACAAAGTTTACCCCCATATAGAAATCAAAGACGTAGCCCTACGTAAAAAAAAGTTGTTGCAACACGATTAAAAGTTTTGAGAGATATTCAAAAATGCTAAAAATTGACAAAAAAACCCAACTTACACACTATACAGCAAAACAAAAATAAACAAATTCTATTCGACTACAGTAAAGGTTCGATTTCGGAATCAGATAAATTTTGACTACTTAGCTTTCCACAGGTTTTAATAATTGCTAAGTTGACTATCTGATCACGCCCAAAGTTTAAAAATTATCCGAAAAATATTAAATAGAGTTGCAGAGCTCAAGCAAATTAAAGATATTGGGAACGTGTTGCTAAAATCAGACCCTTACAGTGCTGAGAATTTATAGTGTAAAATTGACTAGTTTGATTAAGTTTCTTGAGCGGGATCAGTAGATAATGAATTTTGTTTTGTGATAAATGTGTATTATTATAAGAGAAGTAAGCGATAAATTATTTGTATCTATATTTTTTTCGCAAAAAACATATCGATGCAATATCCAACCAGTGTAGTTTACTGATGATTCGATGATAGTCCCGACCATCACAAGAAATTTAAAATCAATTTTTTTCTAAATACTTTGCAAACGTTAGTGAAAATTTGCTTTCCCTTCTCTCTTACGCACTGCATCAGCCGAAAACTCTCGTTCCAGGCTTCTTTTCCGGATCATGGTGATCAGCAAATTTAGCAATCAACCATTTTGTAAAGCATCTGCATTAATTTTCCATCAGATGCCACTGCTGTTGTTTACGGGGACATCTAGCGGAAACTACGCTTAATCAGTTTTCCGTTAATTATTCACAGAGGACAGTACAGCGCAAAACAACTTTTAGCTTTAAATTATGTTTATTTCTATAAT